CTGCTAAGCCCTCCACAGCATCTGCTTCAGCTGCCTTCATGGCCTTTGGAACAAATTGTTCTCATCCACCCATTCCTCCTGGGGGGAAGTCTTCACATGCTTGGGGTAGATATCCCCCTCACTCACTGCGGTTGGTTACCCTCAACTTGCTTTAGGCCATTTACCTGAGACTGAAGTGTGGCCATTGCACATATTACAGCTTCTTGGAGCCACAGGTGAGAGCTGGTTGACAGGTAGATACCAAAGATATCCAAAGGATGAGCAGCCCCAAGAAGGGCTCAGCAAGCCCTCATATCAGAGGTATGTCAGGGAAGACTTGTTCGGTAAGACGTGATTTAATTAGTATAAGGAACAATTCTAGGTGAGGAAATAGTTCTGCAACTAGGGCATTGAGAGGGCAAGTGACTTGTCCAGGATCATATGACTAAACTGTCAAGAACTATCATCCTGAGTCTATTATGCTATATATATTATATACTGAGTCGATCTACTATGCTATATATATATTATCTATCATATATATGCTACTATCATATACATATAATATATATATGCTATTTCATTTAGTTAATCCATACTGTTGAGAAAATATCTTAAAAGTAACATTTAGCTAGATCATGTACAGTATATGTCATCTTTTAGCTATCTGTACCTGTTGACAACATAACCCTTGGGCATCTTTTTCTGTGGAGATAATACTTAATTTTCTTAACTATGTAGTCATCTCAACCTTGCCATAGAACAGATTTCATGCCTTTAATATCTCTTCTCTCCCTGCCCCCCATCAAAATGATGTCTACTTAAACTTGGAGCTTTTGACAAATGAGCACTCCTCAGCCAGAGCTCAAACAGAAGACTTGTTGCCTGTTACGCTTCTTGAGTCATCTTCCGCAAGAATTCAAGATAATGTGTTAAGGACGTTGGAGTTGGATTGTTTAGGTAGATGAGCTTTGATGTCCCTTCCAACTCTGACATTCTATGGATCAAGGGATTTCATTGATGACTTCATCCTTAAAGCTTAATAACTTTATTATTTGTTTATTTGTTATTTATTTATTTGTTAACTTCATTGTTAAAGTTGAACTTAACAACTTTAGCCTCCTCTGGATTACTATAGTATCCATTCTACCAAAATTTGAGGTGGGGGGAACATTGCTCTCTGAACCCTTGTGCTTCTCCCATTATCTCTTGCCCCTATCTCTTATCACCTCATGTCTCCTCTGTGGTCTCCCTGCCTATGGTTTCTCCCCCTCCAAACCATCCTATAAATTGTTGTCAGAGATTATTATTCTCCTTCTGAGAATAAGGATTTCTTCCTATCATTTATCTGTTTTAAGGCCTCTAGTGGTTTCCTAAAGGCACAAAATCCAAACTTCTTACTCTGATATTCAAGGCATGCCCTACTTGACCTACTCTATTTTTCCTACCTTATCCCTCACTTTTTCTCTCTGCTGGTTTTCTGGCCTAGACCACTCCCCCTACTGTCTCACAAATATTCAGGGTCTGTCCAGCCTGGATGTCTTTACTCACGCTGTCATGGCTGCTTGTAATGCCTTGCCCTGCTCTCTATTTCAATGCCACTCATTCTTCAAAGCTTTATTGCACCTCCTCCTTAAAACCTTTTTTTTGATTAGTCCAGCACACTTAAGATCTTGGAATTTAGCACTAAAAGGTGCCTTAGAGAACAAGTACAATACCCGCATTTTACCGATAGGGAAACTGAGGCCTGGAAAGGCTCAGTGACTTGTCCAACATCACTGAGGTAGAAAGGAGCAGAGCCAGGACTGGAACCAGGTCCTCTGAATCTAGATCCAGTGTTCTCTCCCCCTTCTTCATGAGAGGCAGCACGGCAAAATGGATAGTGTTGAACTTGGCATCATGAAAACCTGGGCTCAAATCCTGCTTGATACAAGTTGTGTGATTTCATGCAAGTCACTTTTTCTCTCTGAGTCAAATCAAAACAATAAAAGATTTATTAAATGCCCACTTTGGGCCAGACTCCGGGGATTCAAAGATCATAAATTGAAATAGTCCCTGCTTTCTAAGAGCTTGAATTCTATCCAGAGATACAACATGTACATGTGACAGGGACTGGCCAACAGGAGCCTGGTCCTTTCAGCAGGTGCCACATACTCTGCTTATGGCCAATCCACCCTTGAAGGGTTGGTGAGCCTGCTGCCAGCAATGCTCATTTATGAATATAGCCAGAAAAAATATATACTGAACAAATACAAAAGAAATAAAAGGTAATTTAAAAACTGAGATCTAAATATTCTTATCTGTAAAATGAGATTATAATTCCTGAGTACCTACCTTACTGCAGATTGAGGCTTAAATGAGATAAAGCTATTAAAAGTGCTTTATAATTGTTATTCATTTCTAATTGCCTGCAGCACTGACAACAAAATGAATGAATGAACAAATGGTGTTTATCATAAGATAGATAAGGAAGGGCAGCTAGGTGGCACAGTGGATAGAGAGCTGAACCAGAAATCAGGAAAAGTACAAATCTGGTCTCTTACTAGCCGTATGAGGAGGCAGCTAAGTGGCGCAATGGATAGAACACTGGCCCTGGATTCAGAAGGACCTGAGTTCAAATCCGGTCTCAGACACAAAACACTTACTAGCTGTGTGACCCTGGGTAAGTCACTTAACCCTGTTTGCCTCAGTTTCTTCATCTGTCAAATGAGCTGGAGAAGGAAATGCAGACCACTCCTGGATCTTTGCCAAGAAAACCCCAAATTGGGTCACAAAGAGTGGGACACAACTGGACAACAACAAAAGATAAGGAGAGAATGCACTAACAGTTGAAAGGGTGAGGAAGACCTTTCTGTAGAAATTGGTACTTAAGTTGAATCTTGAAGGAAATGAGAGATTCTGTGAGGAGTGTACTCCAGGTATGGGGATTACCAAAATGCGAAAGTGGGAGACTGTAGTATGTGTGTGTGTGTGTGTGTGTGTGTGTGTGTGTGTGTGTGTGGTGTGTGGTGTGTGGTGTGTGTGTGTGTGTAACACAGAAAAGGCCAGTTTGGCTGGACTGAAGAGTGTGGGAAAGGTATTAATATATAAAGAGGCTGGAAAGATAGATGGAGGCTAAGTTGATAAGGGCCTTAAAAGTCAGAAGAGTTTACATTTTATTCTAGAGGTTTCTAGAGAAAAACTTCAGAGCTTCTTGAGCTTTTTGAATGAGGACGGACATGGTCAGATCTGCGCTCAAAGAAAATCACTTTGGCAGCAATGTGGAGGTTGGGTTGGGTGGGGAGAGACTAGCAGGCTGCTGCAGCAGACCAGGCAAGAGGGGGTGAGGAACCAATCCATAATATAGTCTATGTTAGTAGAAAACAGGTAGGAGAGATGGAGGGGAGGTGGAAAGCCTTAGCAATTGATTAGATGTATATAGTACAATGCCAAGGTCCCAGACCTGGAAGCCTGGAACAATGGTAGTTGCCCTTGATGGAAATAAGTTCAAAAGAGGTGAGGGCGTAGTAGGAGGTAAACATTCTATTATGGGGCAGGCTGACTTTGAGATTCTGGGGGACATGTCCACTTGAGGATCTAGAAACATAGATAGAGCTGTGAGAATATGCAGATAGATGACCATTAAACCCATGGGAGCTGTTGAGGTCACCAAGGGAGAGTAGAGAGAGAACAAGAAAGGGCTCTGTCCTTATCTGTAAAATAGGGATGATAACCCCAGAGTGATGGTGACGTTCAAATGAGATAAGCTATGAAAAATGTTTTGAAAACTTTAAAATGCTGGGTATTTGTCCTTTTCGGATGTCCACAGCACTGACAGCATTACCCCATTTACTCTTTACAACATGTAGGGTCTCGTCCTATTTTGTTATTGCTTCTTGTGAACTTGTCTCTGTCTCTGTCTGTCTCTCTCTGTCTCTCTTCAGCCTGACTGTCCGTTCCTCAAAGGCAGGGACTGACTGGTCACTTTTGCAAACCCTGCTGGGTACATAGGAGCTTCCTCAAGAAATACGCATCCATTGGTTGACAGTTACAAAGGTATTGGTTGCATCTCAGTTTCTTGTGTTTTCCAAAGGGAAAAGAGAAAAGGCAACCAAAGATCTAAATAGGAACTGGGAACTTTGAAATTTGCACCAGGAGAAACAATACCCTGGAAGCAGGCTGCACACCCCACAGATAAAACTTTCTTGGCTCAGCGGTTTGGGCAGCGCCTTATCTCTGACTGTTTCCTAGTGTGATCTCACATCCTGAGCCCTTCCCTTTTCTCCTAGCCCTCCCAAGCCAGAAGAGGGGGGAGGTGGGGAGAAGGGAGGAAGGGAGTGTGGGCGGAGTTGCCAGAGGGGGAGGGAGAGCCGCTCTGGGAAGGCGGCGGATGCCCCCACCCCTGCCCCAGGCTTTCTTCTGCTGCTCTCGAGGAAGCGGCCTCTGCATGTCCAGGCTCTGGTGGGTGCTGTAAGTAGCAAAGCATTTAGGAGCAGCTGCAGCTTTTTGGGGCTGTTGCCCACCGGGTGGTGGTGGGTGGGCCGCGGACCGCCCCTGCCAGATGTGGTGACAGCTGGTTTTTTTTCAGGCTAGCCTTGGGGGAAAGGAAAAGGGGTGGTAGCTGCAAAGGGAAATCATAGGACTGTCTATTTGAGCATAGATTTCTAGCTGGAAGGGAGTAACCCTAGAGGTCCTCTAGCCTCAACTATAGTAGATGAGGGACCTGGATTTGGAGTTTGGAAGACCTGGGTTCGAATCCTGCCTCTGACATTGGCTGTGTGACCCTGGGCTTCATCTTCCTCATTTAAAATGATGAGATTGGACTTGATGGACTCTTGGGTCTTTTACAGCTCTAAATCTGTGATCTTTCTCATTTTAAAGATGAGGAAATTAAGAACAGAGAGGTTACATCACTTGCCCAAGGTCACACAGGTAGTTGGGTCAGAGTTAGGATTCAAATCCAGGCCCCCCAGACTCCAAATTGAGTGTTCTTTTCTGCTGTATCATGCTTCTTCACTAGGTTCTCCTAGCCCTGGCAGAGGAGTGGGACTGAAAAGGGAAGAACAAGATGCAGAAATTGCCCTAGCTGGGGTAAAAGGAAGACCCTGCTGGGATGGAAAAAGACTGACGGGTGTCTCATGAGTAGACAAACTGGCATATTGGGACCTTTGACTTTTCATATTGGGAGCTCAGAGAAGCTAGTGGTAATAGCAACAGGGTAGGCGCTTGGGTGAAATTGGTAAAGTTTGGTTTTGCCAATTTCAAAATTTCATAATACTCTTTTTAAGCCCTCTGTTCTCTCTCTCTCTCTCTCTCTCTCTCTCTCTCTCTCTCTCTCTCTCTCTCTCTGTCTGTCTCTCTGTATCTCTCTGTCTCTCTCTCTGTCTCTCTCCCTTCCTTCTAAGAGTAGCTTCATAAGGCCTGAGGGTCCTCCTTCATGGGAGGAAAATAATCTGATGAATCCATTTACACTAAGGGGAAGCGGGATGGAATCCATTTACACTAAGGGGAAGCGGGATGGTTTCTTAAACCAGTTCTGGCCCAGGCTCTACCTGTATATGTCCCCTTGGGTCAGTTTCCCTCTCTGGGCCTCATTTTGTCTTTAGTTGTAAAACAAAAGGGTTTGACTAGATAATTTCTAAGGCCTCTTCTAATTCGAACATTCTGTGATCTGAGAGATAAAATAAGGGGTTCAGGTGGGGAGGGGAAGAGGAATGAGGGTATGGTTTCTCTGCTCTTAGAAGTCTCAGCTGATGAGGCAGGGCCCACAGTCTTGGCATGGGCTAGGGGCTAGAAGGTGGAAATGCATACCTAACCTTGAGTAGATTTGATAATGTTTGTTTTCATGCCCCTAATCTCCCTTTCTCCCCACCTCCCAACTGGCAGAGCTTTCTAGACAACTGTGAAATTCACTGTGCTTAGGTGGGCCCAGACGAAACTGTGAAACAGATGAAGCTTATTTTGGTTCCTTATCAGTTTCTCCTGTAATTGCCTCCTTTGGATTCCCCCAGGTTTTAGAATTCCATTACTTTGGGCATGATCCCCATCTTCTCTGATCCCCCTCCCCTCATTCTCCTCTCCACCCTAGGACCACCTGGGGTTAACCCATCTCCCCCTGCCCCAACCCTTGCCCTTACCCTAGAACATTCAGTTCTTCAGGGTTTTTAGGGCCCAAAGGGTATGTATGAGAACATCACAGGCACACCCGGGATGCAGATGTTTTAGACATTAGTGCTTCAAAGATCCCTGATTTCATTCACCAGTTTAGATGCTCACAGGATTTAGCGCTGGGACTGTATGTCATCTGGTCCAACCGTCTCATTTTCCAGATAGGGAAATAGGCTCAGAAGGTTTAAAGGATTTGTCCCAGGTCACTCTGAAAGCAAGTGTTAGAATATAGATTTGAACTCAGGTCTTCTGACTCCAGATTCATGTTCTTTCCAGTGCTCTCTTTATTAATACACATGACACCGTCTGTGCACCTTTAGTAGATGGTTCTTTGTGGGTTTTTGTGGTTGGAAAACAATTCAGGCCCTGGTAACCAGCCCTCTCATAAGGGGCTTTTTTTTTTTTTAATACTTAGCCAGGTTGCTCGTCAGGTAATAGATACACAATCCATTGTTGGACCCTTACTCTAGGCCTTTCCAATTTGGTGTGACCTATTGTACTGTATTGTCATAACTTTTGATGACCAAGGGGCATGGATGGAGGACTTAAGAAGAGGGCATATATGTACCAGTGAAATCATAGGTCCCACCCCTGTCTCTATCCCATGTATTCAAGTCTGTATAATTGAGAGTCAGCATAGTATAGTAGAAAGAGAATGGTTTCTATCAGTAAAACCTGCGTTCAAGTCTTGCCTCTGACATATAACAGGTTGTGTGACCCTGGTAAGTAAGATAAGTCATTCACCTCTCTCTGCACCTTAGGACATCCTCTGTAAAATGAAGATGTCAGACTAGTTGATCTCTAAAGATCCCTTCCAGCTCTGAATCTAGGGTCTATGTCAACTAGCAAAAATCAGAGCTTGCAACAATTTCCAGATACTGACTGCCCTAACTAATCACTGTTGTGTCAGATACTCATTTAGCTGTCAGGCCAGTGGGGTCCCTTTGGCATCTTTAGCAGCTACTTTTCCTCAATGGTAGATTTAAAGTTAGAGAGCTTCCATCTAGAGATAGGAGGGTTCCTTTGGTAACTAACTTTAGGTACAGTCCAGCCTATGTCACAAAGGATCTGTTCCTTCTTGAAATGGAAATCAGTATCATCTCATTTGGTTACCTTTTTAACTCTTAAGGCCTTCCTTCTGTTGATTATCTCCAATTTATCTGGCATACAGCTCATTTGTACTTGTTTTCTGCAATTAGACTATGAGCTCCTTGACGGCGGGAACCATCTTGTCTCTCTTTATATCCCTAAGGCTTAGCAGAGTGCCTGGCACATAGTAGGCACTTAATAAATTTTTATTGATCAATTGACTGACCCCAGGCACTGTCAAAAACAACCTAACTCACTGATTTAGAGCTGGAAAGGACTTTTGTGCTCATTGCACCCAACTCCTCATTTTTAGAATCACTATTTTTAAAAAATCAATTTTTTTACTGTTAGCTTTTGTTTTTATAACACCTTCATTTCTGAATGTGTCACTTCTCCATCCCTATCAAGCCTAGCAAGCCATCCTCTGTAGCAGATGGAGGACAAAAAGTGGTTCAACAAAACTAACCATCACTCTCAACTAGGTCTTGCAGCGCTGATATACAATGTATCACTGTCTTTGTCTCCTGTACCAGCCCTAGGAAGAAGTGTGTTTTCTCAACCCTTCCTCACCACCCATTCATTTTATAGATAAAGAAACTGAGGCCCAGAGAGAAAGATGGAGTTGCTGTAGGATTATAAATGCAGTGCTGCTTAAGCTGACCTCACATTGGTGTATCCCTATTCTATCTCATCCCCTCAAGGCTCTGCTTCTTGTGCCTTCCAAGAAAGTGATCAGCTAATGGTAACATGAATGAATGTAAAATATTTATGGAGTCCTTATAAAGGCTGTGCTAAGCCCTAAAATGTGCTAATTAGATCACTTGGTGGGTCTGCCTACCTCACTGGTCATGGGTGTGTATTTTAGTCGTGGTCTTTTGGAAACTGGTTCCCCATACCTTCAAAATGGAAGGATGGAATTTTATGGCAGATAGGAAAGGAGGAAAACATGGCAGGCTGATGGAACAGGATAGCTCAATATGACGCTTTTATCACGTGGGTAGGCTGTGGCCTAATTTGCCTACTCAGAGGGCCATTCTGGGTAAGTGTGTGTGGTTCCTGTATGGTATTTAACCTTTTGTCATCAATGCAATGGTTTAGTGCTTTTGAACAGCTAACAGGCTTAATTGATGGGGTTTCATGACCTTTGAGAATGTTGGACAAACCTATAAACCAGGGCTTGGTTTATGGTTTTGTGGATTGTCTAGATTTAAGAAAATGATGAAGAAAATGTTAACTTAAAAGTGTGTCATGTGTGCTGGGGTTTTTTTTCTTTCTGAAGAGTTGATTGTTAAACGTTTACCAGCAAATCCCTGTGAAAGTACCACACTGTCTCCTGCCACTACTGCGCCTCCCAGTCTCAGCCCATCTCTACCTCTCTCCCTGCCCATGTTATACTGGCTGCTATATCCTAGCGGGGGTGAGGAACCTAAGGCCTTAATACCACATGTAACCTGTAAGAGATTTCAGGGGTTGTGGAGCTTCCTGAAGCTCATAGAAACCTTGAATCTTACAATTGTAAAGGATGTTAGAGGTGAAATCCAACACTCTATCAAATGAAGTAGAAAATGAGAGATAGCGACCCTCAGTCTGACCTGGCCTGGAGAGGACAGGAGGGCCCAAGACAGCCTAGCTTGGCCTCACTGGCCAGCTGTTGTGCTAGATGCTGTCTTGGCATGGGTGGGACAGCCTAACAGCCCCTGAGGAGGCAGGGGGAGTCTATCTTTGGCTCTAGAATGGCAATAAGTGAAGTGTGTGGGAGTATGGGAGAAGTCTTTTAAAATGGGGAGAGAAAGGGTGGAGACTTTTTCTGACTCCCCATGTTTATTCCCATTTCTGTTCTTCATATTTCCACAGAACCCTTTGTTGACACAGTCCCACTTTGATGGTTTCTATGAAAGACAGCTTCCCTAAAAAGCCCTTTGACCTTTCTGTTAACAGCTCTGGGCCTATTTGTTCCTTCTGGACAGATGGACTGGTGAGGCTGAATTCTGACAGGAGAAAGTGACCTCCCTGTTTCCTGCCCATTTCCAGGAAGCATCTTCAGTGAACTCTGGGTCAATACTTTTCCCTTTACCTCACTGAGTTCCTGACACTATTTTTTTTAGCCCCCCTCTGACTCAACCTCCCTGGCCCCCATAGGAGAGTCTGGAGTCATCATGGCATCCCAGGGCTACAGGAAATGAGGAATGGGGGGATGAGAGGAACTGCCCATCAGTGCATATTTCATCCTTCATCCTTACTCCAATCCAAATTTTAAAAGGTCCTGAGAACAAGGAGACAGGAAGAAGGGGAAGGAAAACAGCCAGAGCTTTGGGGAGAGCACCGGAAAGAATGATGAAGTCCAGAGCAATGTCAGGAGCATGCCCCACTTTGACCTTTGACGATCAAGGAAAAGACCAAAACATTTCAGCATCATAGAATGTTGACGCTAGATGAGGTGGAACTCTGGTGTGAGAGCCAATGGCAATCCTCACCTGACCTTTTGATGGTGTGTGGGCCCACAGTCCACCCTCAAAGAACATATGTGCCTTCAGTCTACCTAGTTACAGGGATGGGGAACCTGTGGCCTTCTAGATCCTTAAATGTGGCCTTTTGACGGAATCAAAATCTTGTTCCGTAAAGTCTGGATTCTATCAAAAGGCTGCACCTAAGGATCTAGAAGGCTGCATGTAGCCTCAAGGCTGCAGGTTCCCCACCCCTGAATCCTAGTACTTTAAAGTGAGATGCTCTCTTGCCCGGGTGCTCCATCACTCTGGAAATGCTCTCTCTCCAAACTGTCCTCCTTCAATCTACCTGGAATCTGTCACTGCTCCCTCCATCACAACTCCCCTGTCTTGGATTTCATCCCCTCGGGGTTGGATTCTTTGTGCCTTCTAAGGTGACAACTGTCTTCTCCTATCCAGAGAGAGCTAAAACAGTGTTCCTGGGTCTGTACTTACATCTTCATCATCTAGCATGGTG